AAATGTTTAAAGAAAAAAATGAAATCCTTATTTTTTTATAATATTTTAATTTTTAAAATAAAATGATTATTTTGATTTCATTTAATATTTTCAATGAAATATTTGTACATCCTTGATATGTTTTAATGCTAAATAATCCATTTAAATGCTATATAATACTTAATATTTTAATATGCTCAATAATACTTGATATTTTTAATTATAAATAATATTTGATAAATTTTGAATGTTATACAATACTTGATAATTTTTAATGATCCATTATATATGATATTCTTGAATGTTACACAATACTTGATATATTTGATATGTTTTAATGATCCAATAAAAAAATTACCTTATAATTATTATACAATAAATCTTGATATTATTGGATGATCCAATCCACTTGAATATGTTTAATGATAATAAATTTTATAAAATTATGGTATCAAAATAAAATAAAAAAAATTATATTTGAATTATAATAATTAAATGCTAAAAAATCCTTGATATGTTTTAATGCTAAATAATCCTCGCTATGTTTTGATAGTATATATATTAATTCTTGATATGTATTAATGCTAAAAAATCCTTGATATGTATTAATGCTAAATAATCCTTGATACACAATAGTTGATGTTTGTATATGCTCAATAATACTTGATATTTTTAATTATCCAAAATATTTAATATATTTTGAATGTTACACAATAATTGATATATTTTAATGATCCAATAAAATACATATCTTATAATCATTATACAATAAATCTTGATATTATTGAATGATCCAATCCACTTAAATGTGTATAATGATTATAAATTTTATAAAATTATGGTATCAAAATAAATAGTTGAATTAAAATAATTAAATGCTAAATAATCCTTGATATATTTTTATGATACACAAAAGTTGATATTTTTATATGCTATATAATACTTGATATGTTTTGATAATATATATATATATTAATTCTTGATATGTATTAATGCTAAATAATCCTCGATATGTTTTGATAATATATATATATATTAATTCTTGATATGTATTAATGCTAAATAATCCTTGATATGTATTAATGATACACAATTTTTGATATATTTATATGATATATAAAGTAATACTTGATATTTTTAATTATCCATAGTATTTGATATGTTTAAATGTTAAATAATCCTTGATATTTTCATTAAATAATCCTTGATATTTTTTAATGATTCAATAAAATAATTACTTTATAATCATTGTACAATAAATCTTGATATTATTCAGTGATCCACTTCTATATTCTTGAATGAGTATAATAAATTTTTTAAAATTATGGTATCAAAATAAATAAAAAAAATTATAGTTGAATTTCAATAATTAAATGCATAAAAATCCTTTATATGTTTTTTAATGCTATAAAATCCTCGATGGTTTAAATGCTATAAAATCCTCGATGGTTTTAATGCTATAAAATCCTCGATAGTTTAAATGCTAAAAATAGAATGAAATGAAATGTAATGGGTGAATAAAAAAAACTACAAATAAAAGTAGTGGGTGGGTATATTAGATCCGAATGGTTAATTATGTATCCCACCACGCAGAATACATAACTAACCACCATATTGATAATAGAATGAAATGAAATGTAATGGGTGAAAATGAAATGTAATAGGTGAATAATTGAAACGAACAAATAAATGTAGTGGGTGAGTATTAGAGCCGAATGGTTAATTATGTATCCCACCACGCAGAATACATAACTAACCACCATATTGATAATAGAATGAAATGAAATGTAATGGGTGAATAATTAAAATAACAAATAAATGTAGTGGGTGAATAAAAAAACAAATAAATGTAATGAGTGAATAAAAAAACAACAAACCCACTTGAATTTACCTGAATGTGTATAATGAAAAAAAAAAAAATTTTATCAAATTATTTTCTTTAAATACTTTTAGTTTTTTAAAAAAAAAATTATAAAAAAAAAAAAAATTAATTCAAAATTAATTAATTAATTAATCTATAACTATTTCCTAATTTATTTAAAACATCAATTCCAAAATAAGTAAAATTTGTATTGCAGAAAAAATGTAGATCTGCTACAATCAAAATTGGTAATAATTTGAAACAGGGGAGGTTTTTTTTTTCAAAATTTTTTAATTTTCAAATAAATTAAACACATCTTCCTTTTAAAGAATTCATTTTTCCATTTATATTATTTTATTATAATTCATTTCATAATTGATATGTTGAAAAGGAATAAAGTAAGAATTTGGTAGTTCATTATATGATAATGAAATTGGTATGATAGCTGAATGAAAATACATTAAAAAAAAAAAAAAAAAAAAAAAAAAATTTATTTAATTTAATTTAATTTTTTTTTAAATTTCTTTAAAATTTTTAAACATTTTTTTATTTTTTTTTTAATTACAATGAGCGCTTTTTTTTTTAAATTGCGAATTTTATTAATTATTATCCTTTTTTTATCTTTTTTTTTATTTTAGATCTTTTGTTAATATTTTACAACACTATTATTGATTGATTGTTTAGAATAAGAATCTATAATTAATTTTTTTTTGATATTACAATACTAAATTTGGAAATAATTGAAATAGTTGTTTTAATAAATCAAAATCGAAATTGTATATTAAAAATTGATAAAATAAATCTTCTTTTATTTTTTTTTTTTTTTGAAGTTTATATTAATAAATTATAATATTTATTTTGAACTATCCATTTAATTTTAGTCTTATTATATTTAAATTTTATTTTATAACCATCATTTAAATAATTTACATAAAAAAATATTTTTTTAAATAAATTTTTATTATTTAAAACTTTTAAAAATAATCCTTTTTCCATATGAGCTAAAAAGTTTAATTATAATAACCTTATGAGCACATTTAAAATAATAAAAAATTATCTGAAAGATCTTGATGTTGGTAATTGTAAATAACCAGTGTAAAGTTTTTTTGAAAAAATAGGTTTTTTTAAAAAAATAAAAATTTTTTAATAATTTATTAAAATATCTAAAAAAATTTTTTATTATTTTTTATTATTTTTTATTTATTATTTTTTTTATTTTTTTTTTCATAATTTTAAATAAAAAAAGAATTAAATATTATTCGGATATAATTAATAAAATAATAATATACAAATTTATATTTGAATAATTTAAAACAATGACAATTGAATTAAAAAATGGATTAAATTTTCGTCTCAGAAGTAAAAAGAGTTTAAAAAATAGAGATGGAACCAATGATTGGTTTTTAGGAGTTTATGATGGAGAATGTAAATATAATTAAATTAATTAAAATTAAAGAAAAAAAAAAAAAACCAATATTTATTTTTTCTATTAAAAAAGTGGTATCAAATGGTGGTAATAAAAATGATAATACAATTTGGGTATTAAATTTAAGCAATTCCACAACTGGTTCAAGTTTTATTACATCAAAAGATAGTAAATATTGTTTGGGTATTGATGAAGGATTAAATATGATTAGTGATGCTGATAAAAATGGTAATGGTTTATTTATTTTCGATTGGCAACCAAATGGTAGAGTTTGTATTCAATCAGTTTTATATGCAAATAAAAAAAATAGAACAGGTAAGTTTGGTCCTCATTTAGGTATTGATCCAAACGGTGGCTTAATTGGTAATGCTGGTACTGGGGAATGGGGTCAATTCGATATTATATTGGTGGATGAAAAAGAAAGTGGTAGTCCATCAAATCATGGTGCCTCAACTGTATCATCAAACAATAACAATAATAAAAATGATAGCATTAATAATAATAAAAGTGCTATCCCAAATTCAAATCCATCAATAAAACTTTTAACAGATTTTACTAAACATCGTGAATGTAAGTTATTAATTATTTTATAGGAAAATTTTTTTTTACTTATTAATTTATTTTTAAAAAGTATGGGGTGAAAGATTTTATATTGAACAAAAATTTACAAAATCAGTAAAAGCAAGATTAGCAACAATGATTAGAATTCCAAATTTACATGTAAAGAAATGGAGTGTAGTTGTAAGTGCTCCACCCACACCATTACAAACTCAAATGATCAAGAGTGCCAAATTAACCATTACTGATAATACTGGCAATAACGAAATTTCTAAAGGTTCAATGGTCAAAGCTAAACATCACTTTATCCTTAAAGCAGTTGCTAGAGGTATTCCAAAACAACATAAAATTCATGCATATTATGATATCGAAGCAGATCTCTATAGTATTTCACTTAAAAAAATTTCAAATGATACTACTTTTATGCCAATGGTTCAACCTTTATCTCAAGAGGAAAGATTATATTATTTACAAACTACCAACTTTATTAATTACAATACTCCACAATTTCAACAATGGGTACAATCTAATCAACTACATCCAATTCTTTTGAATGATGGTAGTGTTGAATCTTTACTGTGCTATTGCTATCGTGTTTTCCTTTTCATTAAACTTAACTTTGAATATGTTTTTGCAAAAGATGTTGTTGGTGGTAGTAGAAAAGCTACTGATACAATTCAGCATAGAAAAACTGATTGCGGTGGTTTTGCAATTCTCTATAGTTCCATTTTAAGAATGCATGGTATTCCAACACGTATTTTAATTGGTAGATGGGCATTATCAGGTACCGCCGAAAAACAAAAAGTTCATGTAGTTGGGGAATTTTATGCTGATGGTTTGGGATGGTGTCCTTTCGATCCAGCATGTGCCATTACTGGTGATAAAACTGAACCATTTACAAAGTTTTTTGCTAAAAATTCAGGTGAGTTTATTACTATGCATATTGAACATGGTATACATGGTATTGATAATTCAATTGACGATAAACATCAAACTATTGAATTTTTACAAAGTACTGCTTTTTGGGTAGAAGGTGATGGTAATTTTAATGGTCAAATAGTTGAAAATCTTTGGACTGTAGAAAAAGTTGAAAAATAAATTTTATTAATTATAAATCATCTATTATAAATCATAATAAATAATATAATGAAATAAATAATTTTAAAATAATAAATAATTTAATAAAAATATAAATTACAATCGAAAATTTTCGATTATAATATTTATTAATAAATGTACAAATAGAAGTTTATTTTTTTATTAATTCTTTTTTTCAAAATGAGCTTCGAGATGACGGGTTAGCTCTACTGTTTTTTCTGTTGCCATATCTAAATAGTATGATAAAGTATTGTTTTTAGAATTATAAACTAAATTTCTATGAACATTTGTTGTATGTGGTGCTTTAGCAGTTGGAGTTCTTTGGATATTAGTTAATTTAAAACAAATTTTAATTGTATCACCATTATCACTATTTTCGACTCTACCTTCGTAAATTTCTGTAACTCCTGTTGGTTCTGAAATAACCCATTCAATTGAACCATTAGGTGGGAATCTTAAATATCCACTTTCACAATGAAGAGGTGAACCTTGATCATTCCAAGTTTTTTGTCTATTGATAAAATAAAATTATTAATAAATAATAAAAAACAATCATTAATGATATAGCTTTTAACCTACTGATATGCAATAAATGGTTTACCATTGGTTGTAAACTCCATTTCTTCTGTATATTTAAATGATTGAATTGTTGGATATATGCCTATATAAATTAATTATTATTTTAATAATAAATATTATTAATAATGCACACAAAAAAAAAAAAAAAAAAAAAAAAAAAAAAGAAACTATACCTTCTCCTTTACCTGACCATTTTCCAAGGATGAATGCGAATTTTGAAATATTTGAATGAATATTCATTCGTTTTTATTATTTATATTATATATTTTATAAATTGATTATTTAATAAAAAAAATGTTATAAAAAAAAAAAAAAATTAAAAAAAAAAATTAAAAAATAAAAAAAATTAAAAAATTAATAAAAAAAATTTAGTAAAAACATTTTTATTTTTATAACTAATAAATAATTATTATTATTATTATTATTATTATTATTATTATTATTATTATTATTATTATTATTTATACATTTTTAAATAAATTAAAAAAAATTGGAATTTATCTTTTTTATTGAAATATATTTTTTATATATTAAATAATTATTTTAATAATGTTTTCTTTTGAATTAATATATATGTTTTGTATTTTACCTAAACACACAAACACACACACTTTATACTTTTAAAATAATTATATTCCCTCCAAAAAAATAATTTTTTTTTCAAAAATTTTTAAATTTTTTTTTTTTTTTTTAAAAAAAATAATTTTTTTTTTTATTATCATTAATTAAAATATTTGACAGTATCAATTAACTATAAAAACTTTAAATAATATTATTATTTTGTATATATATAAAAATAAATAAAATAAAATAAAATAACCAATATATAAAAAAATAATAGTTTAATAATGAATCAAATTATAGAAGAACCAATTTTAAAAGAAAATAAAGATAGATTTGTATTATTTCCAATAAAATACCCAGATATCTGGAGTATGTATAAACAAGCAGAAGCAAGTTTTTGGACAGCAGAAGAAATTGATCTTGCACCAGATCTCAACGATTGGAGTAGTAAACTCAACGATAACGAACGTCATTTTATTTCCAATGTTTTAGCATTCTTTGCCGCTTCTGATGGTATTGTAAACGAAAATCTTGCCACTAGATTCATGAGTGAGGTCCAAATTCCAGAAGCTAGATGTTTTTATGGTTTCCAAATTGCAATTGAAAATATTCACTCTGAAACTTACAGGTAAATATTAAAAAATATTAAAAATAAAAAAAACATATAAAAAATACTAATTTTTTTTTTTTTATAATAGTCTTTTAATTGATACATATATTAAAGATAATGAGCAAAAAAGTAAACTATTTAACGCAATAGATACCATTCCATGTATTAAAAAGAAAGCTGATTGGGCATTAAAATGGATTAATAATAGTGATTCTTTTGCAGAACGTTTGGTTGCATTTGCCGCAGTAGAGGGTATCTTTTTCAGTGGTAGTTTTTGTAGTATTTTCTGGTTAAAGAAGAGAGGTTTAATGCCAGGTTTAACCTTTTCAAACGAATTAATCTCTCGTGATGAAGGTCTTCATTGCAATTTTGCATGTCTTTTATACACCAAATTAATAAACAAACTCGAATCCAAGACTCTTGAAGCCATTATTAGAGATGCCGTTGTTTGCGAAAAAGAATTTATTTGTGACTCTTTACCAGTAGATTTAATTGGTATGAATAGTCGTTCAATGTCTCAATACATTGAATTTTGTGCTGATCGTCTTTTGGTCTCATTGGGTTATAAAAAGATTTATAATGCTTCAAATCCTTTTGATTGGATGGAAATGATTTCCCTCCAAAGAAAAACAAACTTTTTCGAAGGTAAAGTAGCCGAATATGCTAAAACTGGTGTTGCAATTCAAAAATCAAACAATCAACAAACCTCTTCAACTCAATCAAGAACCCTTGTTTTAGATGAAGAGTTTTAAAAAAAAAAAAAAAAAAAAAAAAACTATTTGTATAGAAAAAAATTATCTTTCCAATTTGCTTTTTTTTTTTTTTTAAAAAATATTAAATAAAAAATAAAATTAATATATTTATCATTCTTTTTTTTTTTTTTTTTTTTTTCATAATTTTCCAAAAAGAATACAAAAAAGATATTTTTTTAGGTCAAAAATTTCTATTATTTATTTTTTCTTTTTGTATTAATATATTCTTTTAATAAAATTATTATTATATTTTATTATTATTTATTTTTTTGTTGAATTTTTGGTTTTGGAATCATTGAAAAAAAAGTTTTAGTAAAAAAAGAATTTTTTATTTTTTTATTTTTTTATTTTTTTTATTTTTTTATTTTTATTTCAATAACAATATGTATATTAATTTATACTAATTTTTATAACCAAAATCTGGAAGAATAATTTTTATTTCATTTAATAGTATTCAAAAAATGAAAAAAAAAAAAAATGAATTAAAAAAAAAAAAAATTTTATTTTTTTTTAATTTTTTTTTTTTTTTAATTTTTTAATTTTTTAATTTTTTTGTAATTTAAAAAAAAAAAAAACAAAGATCATTTTTTAATTTATTTTTTAGTAATAATATTAATTATATTGTATAAAAATGTCAAATATTGACTTTAAATCATTAGAAAGAGCTGCCAATGAAAGCAGAGGTTTAAGTATGGATGCTGTTGCTAAAGCTGCTTCAGGTCATCTTGGTTTACCATTAGGTAGTGCCGAAATTGGTGCTGCATTATTTGGTAATTGCTTACGATACAACCCAAATGATGTAAGTAATTATAAAATATTTATAGAGATAAAAAAAAAATAATAATAACAATAACAATTTATATTAAAATAAATATTAATATTTAAAATAAAATTTTTTTTTTTTTTTTTTTATAAATTAATATAGACTAAATGGTTAAATAGAGATTATTTTGTATTAAGTGCAGGTCATGGTTCAATGTTTTTATATTCATGGTTAAGTTTATCAGGCTATGATGTTTCAATTGAAGATATTAAAAACTTTAGACAATTAAATTCAAAGACTCCAGGTCATCCAGAATTCCATGATACACCAGGTGTTGAAGCTACTACTGGTCCATTAGGTCAAGGTATTGCTAATGCTGTTGGTATTGCAAGTGCATGTAAAATGGCTGCTGGTAAATTTAATACCGAACAACATAAAATTTTTGACCAAAAAGTTGTTGTTTTAGTTGGTGATGGTTGTCTTCAAGAAGGTATTGCTCAAGAAGCTATTTCATTTGCTGGTCATCATCGTTTAGACAATTTAATTGTTTTATATGATTCAAATGATGTTACTCTTGATGCTATGGCTATCGAAACACAATCAGAAGATGCCACTAAAAGATTTGAATCCGTTGGTTTCCAAGTTCAATTAGTCACCGAAGGTAATAATTTAGCTTCAATCATCAATGCTTATGAAAATGCTAAACAAAGTAAATCAGGTAAACCACAAATTATCATTTGCAAAACTCAAATTGCCAAAGGTATTCCAGAGGTCGCTGGTACTAATAAAGGTCATGGTGAAGCTGGTGTTAAATTTATTGATAGCGCTCGTGAAAATCTTGGTCTTCCAAAAGATAAATTCTTTGTATCAAATGAAACCAGACAATACTTTGATCAACACAAACAACAATTAATTAAACAATACCAAGAATGGCAATCACTCTTCCAACAATGGAAATCATCAAACCCAAAATTAGCCGAGCTCTTAGAAAGTGCTTCAACTAAACATCAACCAATTGATATTATGAAGAATATTCCAGAATTCCCAACCACCACCCAAATTGCAACACGTAAAGCTGGTAGTGATGTTTTACAACCAATTTCTCAATATCTTCCACTTTCAGTTAGTGGTAGTGCCGATTTACATGGTTCAACTCTCAATTATATTAAAGAAGGTCGTGATTTCACTCCATCATGTCCAACCGGTAGAAATATTAAATTTGGTATTCGTGAACATGCTATGGGTGCAATGATGAATGGTTTTGCTTATCATGGTCTTTTTAAAGTTTCAGGTGCTACTTTCTTAGTATTCTCTGATTATCTTCGTCCATCTATTCGTTTAGCTGCTTTATCACATCTTCCAGTTACTTATATTTTCACTCATGATTCAATCGGTGTTGGTGAAGATGGTCCAACCCATCAACCAGTTGAAACTGTAAGTGGTCTCAGAATGATTCCAAATCTTAATGTTATTCGTCCAGCTGACCCAGAAGAAACTGCCGCTGCTTTCTCATTAGCATTTTCACGTGAAGATGGTCCAACTCTTTTAGCTCTCACTCGTCAAAATTTACCATTCCTCCCATTAGATGCCCAACATAAGAGAGAAGGTACACTTAAAGGTGCTTACATTGTTGTCAAAGAAAAATCACCATTAAAAACCATCTTTTTAGCCACTGGTTCAGAAGTCCAACATGCAGTTGAAGCCGCCAAAGTTTTAGGTGATGATATCCGTGTTGTTTCAATGCCATGCTCTGAAATTTTTGATCAACAATCTGCCGAATATAAAGAAGAAATCCTTCCAAATTCATGTAGAAATAGAATTGCTATGGAAGCTGGTGTAACTTCATTCTGGTGGAAATATGTTGGTCTTGATGGTAAAGTTATTGGTATTGATCGTTTCGGTATGAGCGCCCCAGGTGGTACAGTTATGAAACAATTAGGTATGACTCCAGATTCATTTGTTAAATTATTTAAATAAATAAATAATTTTTTTAAATAAAATAAAATAATGTAAAAAAAAAATAAAAAAAAAAATAATGGTTTAATCATTTTTATATTAAAATTTTTTTTTTTTCTATTGGTACACGTGTAATAATATAATTAAAAAATTATTATAATAAAAAAAAAAAGATAGTTTTATTTAAATTAACAAAAATAAATTACTTTTTAAAGTTATTTTTTTTAATTGAATTTAAAATAATTCTTAATTTACAAATTTTAGAATAAATAAATATTTGTATATTTAAAAAAAATTATTTTTTTATTTTTTTTAATTTTTATTTTTTATATTTTTTTTTTTTTAATTTTTTTAAATTTTTTTCATTTAAAAAAAAAAATAACAATAATGATTTACAATATATATATATTTAATAAAGATGGTTTATGTGTATATTATGAAGAATGGAATAAAAGAAAACAATCGGTAAATTTGGCAGAAGATCAAAAGTTATTATTTGGTATGCTTTATTCACTTAAGGCATTTATTTCTACATCTTCACCCAAACCGTATGTTTTTATTAAATAATAATTATAAATTATAAACTTTTCAATATAACAAATAGATTTAGTATTAATAAATTCAATTTTTTATTTAGTATCGATCCAAAAACAGGTTTTCATTGTTTTAAAACATCAACATATAAATTACACTATTACGAAACATTATCATGTATCAAATTTATTATATTGACCGATCCAAATACACCAGACCTTAGAGAGGATTTAAAAAAAATATATAGTTCAATTTTTGTAGAATATGTTGTAAAGAATCCTATTTATCAATTAAAATCCACCATAAAATTTTATGCGTTTGTCAACCCAATAAAACCAAATTTTAAACAAAAAACATAGTTTCAAAATTAATTTATATAAAATAAATAATTTAAAAGTTTTGGATAATAAAATTATAAACCCCCTTAAAGGGTTTTTTTTTTTTTTTTTTTTTTTTAATTTATTTAATATAAATATTAATTTAATTTATTATAATTTATAAATATTTTAATAAAAATAAATAATTTGAATCATCTTTATATCATTAAATTAAATCTTGATTATTTAAATTAAAAAACAATAAACAATTCACTATCAAAAGCTTTTAATTTTATTTATTTTTTAATAAATTTTCTATAAAATAAATTCAATTAAAGTATTTTTCAATGTATTAATTTTTTTATTTTTTAATATGCATTTATAAACTCTTTAAATATTAAATAAATTATACGGCAAATATATAAAGTTAGTTTTTTTTTTTTAAAATATATATATTTTTTATTGAAATATTATCTTTAATTTGATAATAGATCACAAAACCCCATAAAAAAAAAACAAAAAAAAATAAAAATAGAAAATAAAAACAAAAAAATAATCATAACTCCTCATTAATGAATAAAAATAATAATAATAATAGTAAAATTAATAATAAAAAATAAAACATATTCTTTTTTTCTTTTTAAAAATAATAGTTTTTTTAAAATGTAAAAGTTTTTTTAATTTTATTGTTTATTCCATTACGACTTTTAATTTTTTTGATTGGTAATGGGAGGTCATAGTTAAAGGTTTATTAATAAAGTGACTCATTTTATTATTTTTAAAAAGTCATTCAAAGTTAATTTTTTTTTTTTTTAAATTAATTTTTCAAAAAAAAATAAATACTTTTTATCAATTTTAAAGAAATCAAATTTAATTAATTTAAAATATTAAAATATGAATTTACTCAGTTTTAAAAATACTAAATAAAACAATGATGTATTTATTTAATTTTTTAAAGAAATAAATATTTAATTTATTTAATAAAAAAGAAAAAAGAAAAAAAAAAAAAAAAAGAGTAATTTTTGAACATTGATTAATTTTTATTATTATTTTAATTAATTTGAATTTTATTTTAATAAATTTTCGAAATAATAAAATTTAATTATTTGATTGTCATAATTTTATTAAATTTTTTTTATTTTATCTTCAAATATATTTTTTAATAATTTGTAAAAAAAAATTGATTAAAATAACATTTATTAATTTATGTTTTGTTTTAAATTTTTTGTAAATTTAAAAGCTCATTACTACTTTTTGTTAAATTATTAATATTTACAAGAGATTTATAAAAAAGAAAAAATGTATTCTGTAATTTTTAATACTTAAATATAACTTTACAATTTGATTGGTTTTTTTAAAATTGTACAAATATGGAAATGTAATGGTTAAAATTGTATTTTTAAATTAAAAGTGATAATTGATCATGTGATATATAGTTTTTATACCACAATAA